TGGCAGGGTGTTTTTAAGCGTTCCCAGAGGCACTGAGCATTAGCTACAGCTAAGGTTGGGGACTTTGACCAGGGTGTGCCAATGTTCCTGCAGGGACCAAAGTTGGAGGTTCCTGGCTAAGGGGTCTTGCCCCTCTGCTCAGGGTCAGACTAATCACCACATTTGGGGTCAGGAAGGAATTTTACCCTGTGGTCAGATTGGTATAGACTGTGGGGGGTTTTGCTTTCCACTATAGCAGGGTGCATAGCCCTCTACCTGGGATCGCTCAAGCATGTACTGACATTTCACAGAAGCAGGACATTGGCTGCTAGTTCCCTGCTTTATCTGTGGCAGATTAGCGTGTTAGGCCTATGCTGCGTGAGGGTTGACAGCAGTCTTATGAGGAGTTTAAGTTATAGTTTATATGGGATGGGTTGGATATAACTGATCCCTCCTCAGGCCTCTAGGGGTCCCTTTCAACCCTAATTTCTCTATGCCTATGATTTTAATGACAGTAACCAAGAAATTAAAAACTAGATTCCTCCTCTAACTAATCTTAACAATTACCACAAAGAAAACAGGAGCTGTATTATTTAAGAATGACTTGAAATATAATTTAAAAAACTAGAAGATATCCATGAATTAAAAAAGAATGAAAATATTTAAGATGGCACAGAAATCACATCACAATAAATTATTCTTCCTAGAGTTCATCATAGAGAACAGATCCCAAGAGGAGGCTCTAGATTAAGAAGGTGCTTCACCAGCTGCCAGATGCTTAGAAAAGGCTTTGTCAGCATATAGCATCTTTCAGACAGAAAAGCTTATTCTTTGTACAATACTGACACACTTCTATGGATTGTGAAAGTTAAGGCTACTTTTGCCTGGCATAAGTATATGGAGAATAGACTGCAGTACTTACCATACAGAAACTGAAAAGGGAAAGCACTTTTAGATGTAGAGTCACTAATTTAGTTCCTTCTTAGGTGTTTGAAACTGCTATAATCATTCAAGACAGCCTAAAGCAGGGAATATGTTTTTCCCGCAACTGGTTACAGGTGATGTCAAAGGCTGTCAAAGACACTGAGGAAGAGGGAAAGGAATTTTGTGGTGGAAAGACAATGACACTTTTTAAGCAGTGGTTGAACAAGAGTCAAGCCTGCTTATGCCCACATCAACAAAATCCAAAAGTAACAGGACAAGATAGAGGTCAGGACTAGTATAGAGGTGCAAGTAACAAAAGGAGTTGGGACCTACATAGTGTGAAAGGTTCCTGCATAATTTTAAACACCTTTGACTTGATGCTGGTCTTGCATCTTATTCCAGTATTCCTTGTAACTCTTACGTACATTTCTACTATTTTGCCCACCGATAATCTAAATTCCAGCTGATATGCAGGACATAACTAGGAATCAGTAAGTAAGGATGGAAAAGGTCTAAGCAGCCAGTCTTATCCTCCCACTGGATAACAATCATATACTTAATGTCGTATACTTAGACTTCAGGAAGGCCTTCAATACGGTATCCCACCCCATACTGGTGAGCAAGTTAAGAGGCTGTGACTTGGATGACTACACAGTCCGGTGGGTGGCGAATTGGCTGGAGGGCCGCACCCAGAGAGTCGTGGTGGATGGGTCGGTTTCAACCTGGAAGGGTGTGGGAAGTGGGGTCCCACAGGGTTCGGTCCTTGGACCGATACTCTTTAATGTCTTCATCAGTGACTTGGACGAGGGAGTGAAATGTACTCTGTCCAAGTTTGCAGATGACACAAAACTATGGGGAGAAGTGGACACGCCGGAGGGCAGGGAACAGCTGCAAGCAGATCTGGACAAGTGGGCAGAAAACAACAGAATGCAGTTCAACAAGGAGAAATGCAAAGTGCTTCACCTAGGGAGGAAAAATTTCCAGCACACCTACAGCCTAGGGAATGACCTGCTGGGTGGCACGGAAGTGGAAAGGGAACTTGGAGTCCTAGTGGACTCTAAGAAGAACATGAGTCGGCAGTGTGACGAAGCCATCAGAAAAGCCAATGGCAATTTATCGTGCCTCAGGAGATGCATGACGAATAGGTCCAAGGAGGTGATACTTCCCCTCTATCGGGCGCTGGTCAGACCGCAGTTGGAGTACTGCGTGCAATTCTGGGCACCGCACTTCAAGAGGGATGCGGATAACCTGGAGAGGGTCCAGAGAAGGGCCACTCGTATGGTTAAGGGCCTACAGACCAAGCCTTACGAGGACAGACTAGAGAAACTGGATCTATTCAGCCTCCGCAAGAGAAGGTTGAGAGGCGACCTTGTGGCTGCCTATAAGTTCATCACGGGGGCACAGAAGGGAATTGGTGAGTATTTATTCACCAAGGCGCCCCCGGGGGTTACAAGAAATAATGGCCACAAGCTAGCAGAGAGCAGATTTAGATTGGACATTAGGAAGAACTTCTTCACAGTTAGAGTGGCCAGGGTCTGGAACGGGCTCCCAAGGGAGGTGGTGCTCTCCCCTACCCTGGGGGTCTTCAAGAGGAGGTTAGATGAGTATCTAGCTGGGGTCATCTAGACCCAGCACTCTTCCCTGCTTATGCAGGGGGTCGGACTCGATGATTTATTGAGGTCCCTTCCGACCCTAACATCTATGAATCCTCCAAAAGTTACCATGACTTTTTTTTAGGGTCTATCTCAGAACTTTCAACTAATAGATTCTTTCAAAATCCCTGTCACTGTCTAGGTCTATGCTCAAGGTAGGTGCATTACGCCCATTTTAATATCCTATTTTCCCCTAAAAGAATGCATCAATACAAGCTTTTTCAATATTTTGTAGTATCCACAGTTTAAAACTAGATAAAGTTTTCTTGTAGTAGGTCTCATGAATGTTATATACTAATAAAGCACCACCTCAACATTCCTACAGTGTTACTCCCTTCAGATATCCAAGGATTGCATTATTCTAGGGACAGCAAACTCATTCTGTAGCAAACACCCAGTTACCATTTAAGATACTAATCTGTGGTTCACAAATAATTAGTTATTACGCAAGAGGCAAATTTTGCAGCTTAATTAACTGCACCGAGTCTTTCTAAGTAAGGAAATATATTACATAAAGATTTTCTCAATATAAACCTTTACGAAATCTCCATTTCTCTAGCTTTAACTTACTTATCTGCTTATTTCCCTTCCACAATTAACTCTAACCTACTCTGACCAAAATTCCCCCTCTCCCCCTTTCACCTATTAGCCCACTAAGGCAATTTTTCTAGTATGTCGGTTGGGAAATTCTGCCCCATATTATTTCTCATTGGGAAGAGCTCTTCAAATACCCCTTTGATCTTTACCACTCTACAACGCATTTGGAGAAAATCTTCTGGTCATCCCCTCTCTACAATAGAGCTCAGAGGTGGCAGAAATGATAGGGAGAGGGAGAAGTAACTATCCCCTTGACTTATAGCTTAGAACAGGGGTCGCTAACCAATAGCCTATGAAACCCTGGATCCAGCCCATGGATATGGGACTTCAGCAGTATTCAGAGATGGGATGTTTTGGTTACAGGTGCTCTCATGATGCCACGGGGACAAGCATTGGCTGTGAGCTCTCCCCGTGCCACCCTGGAGACAAGCAGCAGCAACAGCCAAGTCTTAGCATTCCCCCTGCCCATCTCATACCTAAGCTGGATCATTCTGGCCCACAGCTGAAATAAAGGTTGCCTACGCCTCGCTAAGAATGCTACAACTACACTGGTAAAGAAAGGGAGTAGGTAAAAAAAATTAACTCTGTCACCTATAACCAACTACCCCATCAGCTCCTCCCACTCAAGCTCACATTTTGACTCTCCACGGCTTTGGATGGCTGAGAAGTGTGAAGAAGGATCTGCAAGTTGGCTGCCAAATTTTCTTAATCTGATTTTACACATAGACTGTATTTTCAATACCTTTGCTCCAGTTCCTAACACTATTAGGAACAAAGAAAAAGAAGTTTGAAAATCTAAATTAAGAAATTTTATTCTACAGGGCAATGACTATTATTCCTATCAAAACTCATTATACCTATCTTATTTACCTGCATACCAGACACACTCCCCAAAAATTAGCCCTCCAAAATTGGGGTGCATATCTTAAGTTGGAAGCTGATTTTTCTGAGCAGAATAGAAGCATGAAGAAGCTATAAAATGGCTCCTGTTTCTTTTCCTTCTCTCCTCATACCCCCAGAAGCTGCTTAAAGGAGGGGCAGAGTCTTGTAGCTTTAACCCTTTCATAGTTGAATTGGAGCAGGGACAGATGTAACCTTCAGCTCACTCACCCTCCCTTTCCTGTTCAGGCAAAAGCAGTCAATTAAGCTGTGAAAAGGTTTTCCTGAACAGGAAAGGGAGGGTGAAAGCAAGCTGAAGATTAGGAGCAAGGACAGAGCCATATGGCAATAACTCTGGAATTTTTTTTAACCCCTATATTCTGACGCCTTCCTTAAAACTAAGATGTGTCTTATTTGGGGTCACTGGGTATGTTAGAAATACAATGGTAAGATTTAATTAGCCCTTTTTAACCATGGGTTCACTTAGTTCACTATGATTTAAGTCCTTTACCAAAAAACAAAAAGATTAATGAGAATGTCCTGAATTATGTATCCTATATGTATATACAAAATGCATGTTGATGGTTGTGACTAGAATAAGCATGTGGGCATCACATTCACTATTGTAGTCTGATGAAACGTTTATCTTTCATTAGTTTTCAGCAGTAACAAATAAAAGGATTCAGGACAGCCTAAGTGAAAATTATTAACAATATTCTTTAATACCTGACTTGATTTTTCCCTTGAACTGTTGGCTAAATTATTTATACTTCCAGTGACTGTATTAATGACTGTTTAAAGATTTTAAAATGTGGGCCTTTGTTTTAAATGGAGGAAAGGGGGGGAGAGAAGTCTTCCATACAACAACAAAACTGTATTTTTATTTAACAATCATCACCCAAAAAAAATGCAAAGCAATTCTGAAGTTTGCCTCACAGATTAAATATTTTTTTAAACTTTAATACTGACTAGCAAACAGTGTTGAAGTCATTTTTGTAGTGAGGACCATTGCTTTAACTGCTTGTATTGCTACCTCCTCCTCTTCTGTCCACATGCTAGCTGCCAGTTCCCACAATACTGAAAGCATTCATTCAGTGATAAGAAGCTTAATGATGGCAGCACTGCAGAAACAGCAGCAATAGTACAAAGCTGTAAAGATAAGACATATACTTTTAAAGTATTGGCAAGTATGCTAGACAACCATGATATGAAGCTCAGCAAAGGTCCAACAGCAACAATGATGGAAATATTTCCTCCTCCATTCTCTAAAAATGTAATGTCAGTATCTAGTTGTCTGTTTCACTGTACTGTTTAGCTATGCATAAGCACAGAATATTTGGTGCTTAGAAGAGGACTAGACTTCTGATTTAACTAAAAAGCTACAATAGATACATCCTTGAATAATGTTAAAAAATTGAGAGGAAAAGTTTTTTTGAGATATCTTTTATTAGACCAACCATATAGTTGAGAAAGATGTTGGACAAACTTTCAGGAAAGGAATTTTATACCAAACAGCTTGTCTAACATCTCTCCGATATACACTTGGTCCAATAAAAGATGCCACAAAAACCCCTTGCCTCCTGTACATTTCACAAACCATCATGGTTACAACATTTTAAGCAGAGTAGACAAAAAATTGCTAACTAGCTACTACTGTACAGTGAAACAATGCCACATGCACTCTCAGGCTGTTTTGTTTGTTTTTTCAAAAGGCATGAGAATCAACTATGGGCACTGAAAAGATACAAGACAGGGGCTAGGGTGACACAGGCACTAAGGCAGCCCAGAGGTCAAAGTTCAAGGACACATCAGGAGTGCTCATGATGTTGCCCTGTCAGCTTCCAATGAATTTATGAAATCTGCTAAATACCTTGCCAAAAGGACATTAAAAAGGAAAGGAAAAGTTCAATACATACACAAAACTAAGTATGAAAACACTAACACCTGGAGTATCACACAGCTCCTCAATACTTTTCTACGAAAACAAGGATTTTTAGCATTGATTAGGAATGTCCATGTTGGAAATTCTTTCTGAATAAATATTTTTTTCTGAGGTAAAGTTAGGAACACTGTATGTCACCTAGCCACAGTAACACCATTTTTCACCCACAGATGTTAGAACACTTTATAAGAGGAAAGTATTATCCCCATTTGAAAGATGGGGAAACAGACACGGCAAGAAGAGACTTGCCCAAATTCTCAGAGTGACTTGAAATTCAAATTAGTATCATCATAAATGTAGTTGGTGTTACTGCTAACATCTGCTTGTGAATATTCATAAAAGTAATCAAACTGCTACTCACGATTTATATGGTCCATATAATAAACTCCGATCTGTTGATCGTAAACAGTTTCCCATCCTAAAGGAAGCTCATCGCCAACACAGTCAGCAAATGTTAATGGCTTTGTAATCCTGTAAAAGCATAAATGAAAATAAATTCAGGATGTGCAATGAATGCTACTAAGTTTTTTTTATTATTATTTCTTTATTGTCCAATAGAACAGGTAAAAGTAACAGACCACCTCTACAATTTGACTCAAGTTAAGATATATAAATTGCTAGGGTGACACTGACAATAAACTACAAATGACAATTTCATTGTAAAAATGTGAGCTGAGAGACTCTCCCCAAACAGGTAAGACAACTTTTCCCTTTAAGTTCTGTGTTTAATGATTTAATTATGATGGTATGTAGTCCTGCCAGTTTTCCCAATACAGCAGTAACAATGTAAAAGCAGAGCTGGAATTCACCACTCTTGACAACTGTTAGGAATTTACAGCTTCCAGGTTTTCAGAACGTCAAAAAAGTAGAATTTGCGATCCACAGAAGCTCAAATGTAAATATACATTTCTGCCTTTTTCAAAGTTGCCCATATACAACTATTTGTGAAGTACTATAATTTCAAAACAGGACAACCTATTCCGCCACACTCCCTAGCAAAAGGGAGGGGATGGAGGGAAGGGGAGAAATCACTAAAGATGTTAAAAGCGTTTTGATATTCATGGATTAAAGGATATAAATATCACTATTACTGGTAAAAGCAATACTAACTAAATATTTTGAATATCCTATCACATCTACAGCTACTACTTAACAGATCAACAGTAATAAATAAAATAAAGAATTTTTAACATTTATCTGAGTACTGGTAAAGTGTCATTTTCCTACTATTCCATGCACCACAGATTCTACATTTGTTCTGCTCTCAAAAAAAAAAAAAAAAAAAATCAAACCTATAGAAAAAATTAAGACAAACAATGGAAAAGAAAAAGATGGGCAGAATCAAATGCTTGAGACTTGTACCATATTTATTTTCTAAAGAATCATTCCAGTAATCTGTTAGTCAATCGATCACTTTACTTGAGTTTCTAAATAAAGTTGTTGTTTTTTTTAAATGAGCTAACTATTCAATGAACTCAACTACAAAGGGAAAAAAAATCTATGCTTTATTATAAACAAAATACATGGCAATTCATCATTTTTTTCAAGCATTTACAGAATTCAGTTCAATGGTCAATTTCATAAATATAAGCATTCAATAGACAGGTCAGTTCTAACTTAACATACTTTAAATGAAGCATACTCACCACATCTTGCATAAGAGCAATTTCTAGATTAGTATATAAACGTGCAATAGTCAATTAAGCTCCCCTCTCACATATGAGGATTTGGACCACATGGCTAGGGACACATATTACAAATAAACCAGTTTAAGTGATCAGAAACTGGTTTAAGCCTGTAACAGAACAGATGTTCAGTGCACATAAACCAGTTTGAAAATGGCTGAAACTAGTTTGAGATAAACCTAGTTGAATGTAGTACCAGACATAACTGATTTAGTTCAAACTGGTTTATACAATGTCTGTCCCAGACCCCTTGCTGGTTTAAGACAAACCAGACACCCCCAGCATCCCAGCATGCTCTCTGGGCTAGGCGGGGCTCTCCGCTCCGCAGCAGGGCTGGCCCCTCCCCTCTGCTCCTTGGCTGCAGCTACCCCCTCCCCCTCACCACTCCCTGTTAAGCAGGAATTCCCCCCTCCCTTCTGCCTTGCTGAGGAGATGTCTGTCTATTAGCTACAGAGATATGGGTTTTCCGGAAAATTTTGAATTAAAAAATTTTCTGCAAAATTTTTCAATGCCCTAAGTAGAGCGTGATCTGATTTAGCATGTTTATTTGACATACATTTAGTAAACAAAACTAAAAGAGTACCCCATGTTAAGTTTATGTCCCAATAGCCACAAGTATTTGAACTGAAATATTTGATTAGGAAAAAATTAAATACAGCACACTTAATGGGGTTTAAATGTTATATTCAAACAAATTCAAAGCTTTATGTGAAAAGAAATTATTTTTATTGGAATACTTGTAAAAATGTAAAGACAATACATGATAGCATGTAGTTCCCTTACATTTTTTTGTTTAAATTTAAGAACCCCCCCCCGAAGGCACTGAAAACTGCTGACACGCTAATTTTAGCACACCCAAAGACCTGTGCATGATATGCCATGCTTTCATTTTGATTTGACCTGCACGGCCAATTAGGTGATTTCATAACTTGATTTTTGGTTTGGAATATTATGAGAGTGTATTTACCCTCCCATTTAAAAATCAATAAAACATGTATGTACTCTCTCATACCCTTCCTAGGGATAATCACCTGAAAAAACATTAATTACAACTTTTAAACTGCCAAGTTTGCCTAATATTGTATTGGCTTCCATTCATTATTACTAACGAATTTTATGAAACAATGAATTTTTAGAAATGGAAAATTTCCCAAGAAAAATAAAGCACTTATTAGCTAGCAGACCACATGCTGGCTATGGTTCCTAATGAATCAACAAGTAGAATCAACAAGTAGCTGGTAATGTCCCTCTGTTGTTTTCTTAATTTTGTGATAAACATTGTTATCAATTCCCTGCTGGGCTAATCTAAGTGTCCTGCCCAAGCATGGCCACACCTCACTCAGCTCCATGCTGTGGAAGGAAGGGAGAGCTGCTCTAGCGCCCCCCGGCTTCTAGCCTCAGCCACTACAGGCATGTGCCTGCATTTCTGGGATGTCTGTCCAGTTACAAAACTAATTTAGCCTAGCCAGGTTAGACTAACCTGCAAAGACTGAATCAATTCAGACTCAGGCTTTTTGAATGTCTGTCCTTAGCCCATAAATTATTTAGTTTCATAGCCAGTAGGGATCATAAGTAACTTCTAATCTGACACTTAAACTTCACCCAGTAATTCTTGCATAAGCCAAATTTTTTCTCTGAATTTTCTTTGAAGCATAATCTTAGTTTAAAGACTTAAAGCAAGAGAGAATTTATTACGTCCATTGGTGGGCTGCTCACTCCAGTATTCAATTATCCTCAATGTTAAAAATGCATACCTTTCTTTCTATTTAAATTACTCAAGCTTAAATTTTGGAAATTTTTTACTACTGGAACTTAGTATGTCTTCATATGCTGTATGTTTATAAACCCTTAGTTTCCAAGATATCCATGTAGGATATCTACTGGTGTAGGAAGAGACTATTCAACTTATCCCTCAATGGCAAGCTCCTCAAATCCGTCACTGTAAAGTTTATGCTGCAGATCTCAAGCCATTCTTATAGCTTTTCTCTGTACCCTCTCCAATTTGAAACATTTATCTTGATATATGAACACTTACAACAGACACTGCAGTAATGCACTTGGGGGGGGGGGGATAGAGCAGACCACAAGCCCTGGTTACCAACTTAAAAAGGGGCATCCTCAAGGTCCTTTCCACTCTCCTGATACACTCAGGTTTTCCTAAAATGGTGGGCCCTCTCATGTCCCACATGACCCCAAACCAGGGGCTGGCACATTTTTCCCTCATGGACTAGAGTTTGCAGCCTTGGGCCCCCCTTACCACAAATCTACATCCCGTGAAGAACTCAAGACTCCTCTGCTTGCCTCCACTACAGATACCTGGCCCCTCTGCAGCAGAGACAAGCAGCGGGATAGTGAATAGGACAGGCAACTCAGTATGGGTACATACCACCCAATCCCCAGTGCCACCCTTCCCAGGATCAATCTAACCACTTCACAGGCTGAGTCTACCTGCAGGTCAAAGGATGTCAATCCCCGCTTTTCACTGTTTTTCTGCACCCTGCTCCACAGCACTCTAGCTGCTCTGAGACTTACTCTCACCACCAAATTTGACCCTGATAATTGCCTCTTAATATCCAAGACTGTGGCAAATATAGCAAAAGAGTAGCCCTCAATACAAAGCAGGGAAGGCTGAGATGCTTGAGACAGGAAGGGGAAGGTGGAATGGTATGATATGAGTACCAACCAGGTTAGCTCAGAGTGCAAAATTTTACTGATTACATCTCAGAGACATGGTATTTCAGCACAGGATTCACCAAAGTTATATATGGAGGGAGTATCACCCCCTCCACATGGAGGGGGTAGTCCTACCTTATCAATATGCCTTTGCTTGAACATCCAAAGGCGTTACTACCCCTAACATACAAGAATATTTATGATAGTTAAGGCAAATCAACACAAAGCATGGAAATCAATGTGGTCAGCTCCTGCACTTACATTTATTCAGGAGAAAAGCTACAGGGGAAATAACTACAGTACCTAAGGACACTTTACTACTGAATGAAATCATCCATCAGGGGGTTAAACACACTAACTTGTGTTTACTGAATTCATAACTTTTCATTTAATTCACCCTAACTTTGAGTGTCCCCCCAAGTAATTCTGGCCTGACTGACATTCCCCACCTCTCTCCCCACAAGACAGCCTGAAATATATTACTCTAGGCTAGAAGGAAAAGAGTAAAATACTTCATAATTTCCGAACTTTTTCAGCCTGACAAACATTCCAAGTAAAAAATGGCAGAGCATGTTCTATATTAAATCTCCAAGTCCTTCTTGTCAAGTCCTTATGCAATTATCAGTTTACGAGAGAGAGACAGATGAACAGGGAATTTTCCCACAACTTTGCATTAACATACTTTATTATTTATGTAGTATTTATATACAGTACAAGAAAAATATTCTACTTTTAAAAAATACAAGGAACTAATAAGACTTCTCTCACCTGTACATGTTCTCTTTTTATCCCAAAATTTGAAATGCCTACATTTAAACCTAAATGGTTTGTCTATCCCAGTGGTTCTCAACAGTTTTAGACTCAAGGCACCCATCAGAAAATGCTCTCATAGCTTTGAAACAAATAATAGGGCAATTTCTTTGTTGCAAAGAACACAGAAAGATCACAACAGTTCAGAATGTTTTTGACACTAATATAAATTATCTTATAATTCATAAGCATGTATTTCAGAGGTGCTGGTTGTGGCTGTATTGGTCTAAGGAGATAGGAAGACAAGGCTCTTTAGGTACATGTGATATCTTTTATTAGACCAACTAAACAGTTGGAATCCCACCCA